GCTGGTCTTATTCCTATTTTTTTGCGAATGTCTCTCTTCCTTTGATTATCATTATTATCTATTCTGATTTCTGCCCTCTCTCTGGCTCTCTCTGTGTCTTTGTTAAAAATTTTGATAAAAAAATATATATTTTACATTTTGTTCTTAAACTTTATTTAAATTCAATTCCAAATTCAAACACGTTTAGAAATACTTATTTCGCATTTAACATCCAATTAACTTATCTCTGTAATTTCTGACTTTTTAATGAAAATTTCTGATTAATAAACCAAAAACTCAAAATAAATACGCTCGATGAATCCCCATGACATCCCTTTTTGATGTTCTTTCCAATCTACGTTCCAGAATTAATTTAATTTTTTTGACAGTGATGAATAAAACTATACAATTTCACTACCAGGTGATTTTTCATATTAAGTCCCCAAATTTCGTATGCAGATAGAACATTGTTCAAATACCCCATCCTATTGAATACTAAATTCCCAAATTTATATTACTTTTACATTGTTAACCTTCTATGAATTTTAATTGTTTATTTGTTATTCATCTTTCTTTCCTCTCTCTTTTCGAATTAACATTAAAATACATACATTTATAAACCGTTACAACAACTACAACTATTATCGAATATCAGATATCAATTTCACAAAACACAGATTCATATTCATTTTAAATCCTTTACATTATTCATCTTCATATTTTTAATTTTCTACATTTATACTTAAAATTTTTTGTTCAAAACTCCTTTTCATCAAATTTTAAACAAATAAAAATGTCTGTCCGTCCCTCCGACCATCCGCCCGTTCGATCGTCCATTTGTCCGTCCAACCGTCCGTTCGACCGTCCGTCCAACCGTCCGTTCGACCGTCCGTCCAACCGTCCATCCGTCCGATGTCACGTTTCTCAACGGCACGATAAGTCCATAATAAAAGATATCAATTTCAAATGTTCAGAAAAAATCAAGCTCCATGGCAGGCCTGCACAACACAGATTATCAAAGGACCAGATTTAAAAAACCGTAACTGTACGAGGGCCGCCAAGAGAGGCCTGAGCCTACAATAGTCGGTTCAGATTTATAATGTATAACCCATTCTGCTTATTGAGTATAAATGTATAATTTGATGTAGGCGGGCCAAACTGGTCCACAACTAAATTTGACTACTTTATTCATTACTCATCCCGCATCCCTCACCCCTTACCCCTCATCCATCACCCCTAATCCCTCGTCCCTCACCCTTTTTACTCTATCTCTTCCCTTATTCCTCATATATCACCCCTCATCCATCGTCCCTCATCTCCCACCCACATTCCCATTTCTCATTCCTCCCCCCTAATATCCCGTCCCTCATCACTCACACCATCCATCATCTCACATCCCGCATCCAACATTCCACATCCCACATCACGCATCCAACATCCAACATCCAACATCCAACATCCAACATCCAACATCCAACATCCAACATCCAACATCCAACATCCAACATCCAACATCCAACATCCAACATCCAACATCCAACATCCAACATCCAACATCCAACATCCAACATCCAACATCCAACATCCAACATCCAACATCCAACATCCAACATCCAACATCCAACATCCAACATCCAACATCCAACATCCAACATCCAACATCCAACATCCAACATCCAACATCCAACATCCAACATCCAACATCCAACATCCAACATCCAACATCCAACATCCAACATCCAACATCCAACATCCAACATCCAACATCCAACATCCAACATCCAACATCCAACATCCAACATCCAACATCCAACATCCAACATCCAACATCCAACATCCAACATCCAACATCCAACATCCAACATCCAACATCCAACATCCAACATCCAACATCCAACATCCAACATCCAACATCCAACATCCAACATCCAACATCCAACATCCAACATCCAACATCCAACATCCAACATCCAACATCCAACATCCAACATCCAACATCCAACATCCAACATCCAACATCCAACATCCAACATCCAACATCCAACATCCAACATCCAACATCCAACATCCAACATCCAACATCCAACATCCAACATCCAACATCCAACATCCAACATCCAACATCCAACATCCAACATCCAACATCCAACATCCAATATCCAACATTCAACATCCAACAACCAACAACCAACAACCAACAACCAACAACCAACAACCAACAACCAACAACCAACAACCAACAACCAACAACCAACAACCAACATCCAACATCCAACATCCAACATCCAACATCCAACATCCAACATCCAACATCCAACATCCAACATCCAACATCCAACATCCAACATCCAACATCCAACATCCAACATCCAACATCCAACATCCAACATCCAACATCCAACATCCAACATCCAACATCCAACATCCAACATCCAACATCCAACATCCAACATCCAACATCCAACATCCAACATCCAACATCCAACATCCAACATCCAACATCCAACATCCAACATCCAACATCCAACATCCAACATCCAACATCCAACATCCAACATCCAACATCCAACATCCAACATCCAACATCCAACATCCAACATCCAACATCCAACATCCAACATCCAACATCCAACATCCAACATCCAACATCCAACATCCAACATCCAACATCCAACATCCAACATCCAACATCCAACATCCAACATCCAACATCCAACATCCAACATCCAACATCCAACATCCAACATCCAACATCCAACATCCAACATCCAACATCCAACATCCAACATCCAACATCCAACATCCAACATCCAACATCCAACATCCAACATCCAACATCCAACATCCAACATCCAACATCCAACATCCAACATCCAACATCCAACATCCAACATCCAACATCCAACATCCAACATCCAACATCCAACATCCAACATCCAACATCCAACATCCAACATCCAACATCCAACATCCAACATCCAACATCCAACATCCAACATCCAACATCCAACATCCAACATCCAACATCCAACATCCAACATCCAACATCCAACATCCAACATCCAACATCCAACATCCAACATCCAACATCCAACATCCAACATCCAACATCCAACATCCAACATCCAACATCCAACATCCAACATCCAACATCCAACATCCAACATCCAACATCCAACATCCAACATCCAACATCCAACATCCAACATCCAACATCCAACATCCAACATCCAACATCCAACATCCAACATCCAACATCCAACATCCAACATCCAACATCCAACATCCAACATCCAACATCCAACATCCAACATCCTACATCCAACATCCAACATCCAACATCCAACATCCAACATCCAACATCCAACATCCAACACCCAACATCCAACATCCAACATCCAACATCCAACATCCAACATCCAACATCCAACATCCAACATCCAACATCCAACATCCAACATCCAACATCCAACATCCAACATCCAACATCCAACATCCAACATCCAACATCCCACATCTTGCATCCCACGTTCCGCATTCAACGTCCCACATCCCACATCCCACATCCCACATCCCACATCCCACATCCCACATCCCACATCCCACATCCCACATCCCACACCCCACATCCCACATTCCGCACCACACATTCCACATCCCACATCCCACGTCCCACATCCCACATCCCACATCCCACATCCCACATCCCACATCCCACATCCCACATCCCACATCCCACATCCCACATCCCACATCCCACATCACATATCCCAAATCCCAAATCCCAAATCCCACATCCCACATCCCACACCACATATCCCAAATCCCACATTCCACATCCCACATCTCACATCTCACATCTCACATCTCACATCTCACATCTCACATCTCACATCTCACATCCCACATCCCACATCCCGCATCCCGCATCCCACATACAGCATCCAATATCCAACATCCCACATCTCACATGGAACATCCCACATCCCACATCCCACTGACTGACATTAAATGTCACTTTTAGCGATATTTCTCGATCATAGAAATAACACATTTATTGCCTAGATATTAAAAATCATTTTAACTGTCTATGCATTAAAAACTTTTTCTTCTTTTCTCTTTTGAAGTCTTGCTCTGCATGAGGATCCAGCCAAAAAAGTTACCCTAATAAATTATCTAGAAATTTACTATGTATATTTGTATAAGAATTGAAGGGATATGGTTAAAAAAACACGATTAGAATTCGTATTAAAAATGCGTTATATCCGTTATACTTAAAAGAGGTTTTCATGTGAGTTCCATTTTTTTAAACACACTGTATAAAAAATCTTAGAAAAATGTATGTTTCATTAGGCAGATAAACAAATTTACTGCCTTGGCTAGTTTCAATGTAATTCTAGCCGATGCAGTACAGTAGTTATCGCAACAAGTGCTTCTAGCATGTGTTACGATCAACATTTATTCTACAAGCGCATTTATTTCTAAAATAGAGAATTAATTAACCTGTATAATGACATTAGGTACAACATACAGTTTAAGTATACATATATCAAACCGATGTTATGTGCTGAATTGGTGTAGTGGTTAGTGTTTCGGGCTCATAACGCAAAGATCTTAGGTTCAATCCCGGGCCTCGGCGGTAAGTATACCTTGCTTTTTTTTTAATTTATATTTCTCTGCGTGCGAGAAGATAAACTTCTTGCACTCGAAAGAGTGCGAGAAGATCATCTTCTCGCACGCTTGTAGAAAAAATCTGTTACCTATTTCTCTTCCTAGTTAATCAAATAATTAATATTATTTCAAAACAACAAATCGATGGTTGTCATGTTTAGGAATTTTTATTGCAACACTATTTTGCGCCTCTACTATAACTAAAACCAAGCAAACGTTCGTACCATAAAAACCGCATTTGTCGGTACCATCATCGTTTTCACTATCGCGACCGAGGAAGAAGTCTTGTACCTTGGCCTTGCCGCTTAAGCAATATGCGTGCGTGAGGGTGTTGGAGAAAGCAATTGACACCCCACTTACCCAATCCGACGAAAGCATATATAACTATTTAGTTATAATTCTCTATAGTTTGTTGTTAAGTTTCTTTTTGGTGACCGCAGCAGAAGTCGTCAGGGCGGCTCCTTTGCAGGGATGCTCTTTATCAGGAGCCTAGTGGTTAGTGAGTTTTTCTTTAATATTTATCTTAAATCGGTCAAAGAATACGGCTGTTTATTATTTGTTTTAGTGACAAATAAGGTTAATTCGATATAGGTATATTCATATCGTCTCGTTTTTATCAGATTTTAATTCCTTCCAAATTATTTAGATTTTTTAAAACAATAATCGCTAAAAACAACTTTTTCATTAATGGATTACAAAAATACCGCAATCTGTTAGAGACATTAGAATATAAAAAAGTTATTTATGTTTTCTAATAATTATGTTTATGTTTATATTTATATTACATAATTTGTTTTGTTTTCTGTCGTGAAGTTTTTTATGTAGATTTGTATCAGTTCCGGTAAAATAGACAAATTTCTGATTTTTTAGGGCTAGAACAAAAACAAAATCTATTTTGTTTATAATACAAGAGGGTCCATGGATATGAATATTTTACAAAATTAAATTGTATTTAATTTATTTCCATTATTACAAATGATCTCTGAATTTTTTAAGTATATTTTTAATATAACCAATTATTTCATATATATTTTTAAGATAAATGTCAAAATTTGTTTTTAGGTTTTAAGAAACTATTCAAAGTGTTATAAAAATCAATTTTATAAAAGGTTGAATACTGACCTAGCCATATGAATTATGCTTTTACTATTGTCACGTTATGCGTGTTATTTAATAAAATGTCACGTTTACGTGTGCTTTAATAAATAATTAGGGACCAGCTATGTTCCACGGGGTTAGACGATAAGGGTCTAAATAGTGTAAGCACTAAATTACTATAACTTTATTTCGTAGCCCTTAAATGTGTAAGGGTTCTACTCTTGAGGTTAGATCCTAACACGTCCCAGAAAAAGGGCCAAAGAAAACACAGTATTCTCAAAACAAATATAATATAATTTAAAACGATTATACAAAATATATCCAAACTCGACATACACAAATATAAGGCTCAATATAATAACAAAAGACAATAAAATATTAACTTATCAGCTCCGCTTATATTTGGGGCACATGTCACAACACAACTCTTGACTGACTTTTAATTTAAACTATATAGATCCTGAGCCTCCGATCGGAATCTCAGTGATTTGGAGCCGCTACTGGAAATCTCCTACAAGGGAGGCCTCCTATAGGGAGGATCCTTCCCTGTGAAAAAAGCCCTGCGCGTCTCCTCGACATTACCTTTATAACTTCTTTATAGTTTATTATTATTTTTTTTACCCTTATATTTTTTATTTATTTGATACAAATACATTTCATACAATTAAAAATTAAATTAACATAATATTCAAATTATAATTAAAGTTAAAGTACGTAAGTGCAAGCACCTGTATGTGCTAAAGTAAAGTAATAGCATGGTAATATACATATTTATACTTATAGTATACATATATATCTACATAGTTTTAAAATATCTGTAATAAGAATACAAAATTATCTAGAGTATATCTGTATATGCACCAATATTAGAAGTGATATACTGTTTTGATGTTTTTCTGAAATAACTTTAAATTTTTTATGTTCCTCACATTGACAGGTAAGGATTTTGGGAGCAACATAAGTTACAAATCTTTGACTTGCATCTCGCTTAACTGCTGAGTTCTCAGATTCTCTTTTAATCTGGATCTTGTGTTGTGCAAGTGCTTTGCAGTATGTCCCAGTTTAGGATTTTTATAAATAAAAGTACAACAACAATGATAATATAATGTTCTTATATTAAGCACTTGTTTGTTATATAAGAGAGAGGTAGGATATAATATCGATTTTTTGTAAATAATTTTGACGATACGATTTTGGATTATATTGAGGTTGAAGTGCTATATCATATAAACCACCCCATATTATTTAACCATATCGGAAAATAGATTCAACCAACGAATTGTAAATAATAATTAGTAGATTCCTAGTCATAAATTTCCTTAACTCATACAATTTAAAAATAAATCTTCTAACCTTGGTTGTTAATGATTGAATGTGCCTACTCCATTTCAAATTTTGGTCAATTATTTTTCCGAGGTATTTTGTTGTATTGTTCATTCTAACTACAAAGTTTTCATTTATTTTCATGTCGAAAGAAGGCTTGTTAACGTTAGTTAACGTAAATGTTAGAAAGAAGGTTTTAGAGACATTTAAAGAGAGTTTATGAAAATCAATCCAGTTTATAATAGTACTTATACCCGTTTTGGCTTTTTCTTTGGCTGCTTCCCAGCTGCTATCCTCGAATAAAATGACAGTATCATCTGCATATAAGATTAATGCACCATTTATTAGTAATTTTACCATAGTATTGATATAAATGATAAATAAAATTGGACCAAGAACCGTTCCCTGGGGCACTCCCATTTGAACGATTTCCGGTTCGCTTAAGATATTTTTTATTCTCACCATTTGTTTTCTGTTTAACAAATAGTTTTTGAAAAGATCTAATACAGTGCCCCTCACTCCATACTGTTGTAAAGTATTAAGGAAAAATTGATGAGGCACTGTATTAAATGCCTTTGCTAAATCCAAGAACACTGCAATACATTTATCACCCTTATCCAAAGTCAGTTTGATTCGGTTAACAAGTTCAAACATTGCATGAAACTAATGTTTAATAGTTATTAAATAATCAACCTTGCACATGATTGCAATTTAAAACAAATTGTAGACATAATTAAACAAAGTTTTATGTACAGGATGTTATTTAAATAATTTGCCACAGAATGTTTAAATAATAGAAAATAGATTTGGTTTAATAAATCTAGTTTTTCTCAAAATCATCTTATCTTCTATACATTTCAGGTTATTTTCTCATCAGTCATCTCTTAAAACTTTCTAGCATAGAGTTTACTAGGACAGTGTCTCTAAAGAATCCAACAGTAATTGGCCATCATGTTGATGTCACATCTTCCGTGATATGCAACTTTCCTAGTTTTAATTTTCTTGAGTCCTGTATTTTATCAAAATCGCTCAGGTCTTCTGGAAACAGATCTGTACTTTTATACTCATGCTACAACCAAGAACATTAAAGTTGGAAAGCCTAATTTGCAATAATTCTATGTAATTATTTATTTAATGAAGAAATTTGTGGATATTTAATAAGTAGCCTTATCCGAGACAAATATTCCGTGCTAACTAGAGACAATTTATGTTTTAAGCAGCCAAAACAAAGTCCATCTTGAGTTAAAGCCTTCACAAATTGCTTTTTAAAGCTCAAACGTAATATGCAATGAAGGAAATATGATGTTCTATCTCGTAACGAAAGGTTCGTTGGTTATGTTTTGTTTTGATGACAAATACAATTAGGAAGAAAAACCTTTAAAATCTATCTCTGGATCACAAACCAGTTACTAAAGAAGAAAAGCAAAAAGAATGAACTTATTCATCAAATATTAAAAACCCAAATAACCTAGAAGTTAAATACAATATAAAACATACAAAAAACAAGTAACTACAATTATATATTATAAAACTGAAAAATGACTATTATAAAAATCTAATTAATAAAAATATTAAAAACAATTCCTTTAACCCCCAACAATTTAAAAGGTAATGAAATTAACCCCAACAGACAAATAAAAAAACTCGAAAGGCGAAACAATAAATAAAATCAAAGATATTGCAAATATCTTTATTGAAACTTATATAAATGTTTTAAAAGAACTAGCCAAAAATATTAAACCAAATTAAATCTATCGAGCACCCAGTAATATATTTAGTTCTATTCATAACTTTCAAATGAGATATTGAAAATATCATTATTGAATTAAAATCTACTAAAAGTCCTGGTGTTATTATTAAAGCCGAAATATTAAAAGATATATCAAAATTTATTTTGACACCAATAAATTATTTGATGACGTTGCCTTTTGATACTGGTATACGACCTAATATATTTAAATAGACAATAATAAAATTGTTATCCCCATGTACGAGTATAAAAAAGAAGATGAGACAGTGGTATCAAATCATAGACCAATTTTATTAATTACACATTTATTAAAAAATATAGGTACAGATTAGTAAATTTAACATCAAAGTATAGTATAATATTAGATAAACAATAAACAATACTTCTATTTACAGAAGATCAGTGGCGGCTGGTGACCAAAATATTAGGAGTTCAAAATTAGATAATATAGATCTCAGTACAGATTTAGGTAAAACACTTACAGTGTTTATAATATACCTTCCTAAAACACTAAAAGTGTTTTACAGAGCTCTATATTCTCTCATTGTAAACCCCCAATAATTTGCTCACAAGCCGCCACTGCAGAAGATGCTATTATAGCACTCTCTACCAAAATACTAACTGCTCTAGATGAAAGCAGTCCATGTCTATGTGTATATCTAGACCTTTCGAAAGCATTCGACACTGTCAGCCACCGTTTACTTTTGAAGAAGCAAGTGAAAGAGACATCACTTAAATTATTTAAAATCTTTATTACAAACCGACAACAAGTTACAAGCGTAGATCGTGTTTATAGTGAACTAGGATCAATAACTTACGATATTAACGGATTATTTTTTATCGAGATTTCAAGGGAAGTTTTAGTATTCGCAATATTTTATAAAGCTACTTGGCAAACTAAAAGAAAACGTTGAACAGGATCTCCCAATTCTGGAAAGTTGGTTTGATAATACATTACTGACTTTAAATGTGGATAAAATCCATTACTTACCAGTAAGCAATAATATTATAAGAAGACCTCCATTTAAAAAATTGATTTCTACTGCTTCTGGACAAACACTTACTATTCTTCCTGAAAACAAGATACAATATTTAAAGTTTTACATGGATACATATCTCAAATACAGAGAAAATATAACTTTTATATGCCAAACAATTAAGAATGATAATAAACCTATAAATTTAAAAATTCATCAACTTAAAATCTTGTATCACAGCTTAGCAGAAAGTAATTAAGTTTGAGATATGCCATCATTGTGTGGAGTTGTACTTTAAAAAACACATTTACAACTACTTGAAGTTCTACTAAAGAGATACCTAAAAT